CTCAAGAGAATCGCTAACTGAGTTTGATTGACACGAATCATCGAAGGGTGTGCATCAAAATTTAGTGGCAAACTTTTCAAATTCCAAAGCACTATATTTCTCTCATTTCAAATTGGAGCCCCTTTATATTCTCATGTCTTTCGATGCGTGAGTAATAGTATATTATTCAACGAGCGGTAATGTAGGTCATAACTCACGTAGATGAAGTTTGCAGCACGAGCAACAGGCGAGTGATGTAATTCATCAAGTGAGTTATGACCATTACCGCAAGTTAAATACTATACTTTATCAACGACTATTTCAATGAATACTAAGTTACAAGTATACAAAGAAAGAACTTTAGTCACAAATCTTAATATACTTAATACAAATTTTAGATTTAATCACTCATTTTGTTTATTGAAAAAATTAACTGTGAAGTTTGAACAACCAGTAAGCTGAATATGTGGAACTGAATTATGGAAGTTTATTGTTTCTTTTTGTGTTTGTTGCATATATATGTTGTTGATGTACTAACTGATTTATAGCTGTTATAGAACTGTATATTTTATTTGCAGTATCTGTCTTATTCATTTCGGAATCCTCAACGCACAGCCACAGTAATTGATCGCCAACCGCCATGGCGTTACAGTGCCGTACGTACGGCATCTACTAATAAAGTTGACGACGAGCGGCGAAAACAATATGCCCTGTATATAAATTACAGTCTGGTAATTTCAGAAATGTGGCAATGTCTTTCCCCATTGCTCCAAATTTATCAATGCCATTCTTTGTGAGTGATATTTTCTATATGGAAATTCAAATGATAATCCATCTTCACTATCTGAATTCATCAAATAAATCACAATAATTGTATCAGCCTAGTTTGAAAACGTTAAACAATTGACATCACTCCCCTCAATAACAATAATGGACTGTTCCCTTCCGGCCAACTGGCATGTACAGAAGTACGTACTGAGCCATCTTGATTTTCGGTTCGTAAATAATTCCTAGAGCCTTTCCCGATGTAAGTATTATAGTGAGTTATAGTAGCGAGAGTTATTATAACTCAAACTGTTTGTTTACAGATACTATTAATTGTACAAAGGCAGTTGAATCATTGATATATATATTTTTATAGGAGTAGATAAAAACTATTTTTTTATAATTACAACCATATCAAAACTCTCATTGTATCAAAAGTTATTCGCCGAAAACTCGTTTCATCATCTGATAGTCATTTGAATGAATTCGAAACGAAGGTTTATTATTAACATTTAACTCTAATGAAGTGCCAGGAGTCCATTTGGGCTTGGGATGTTCATATTCAATACATTACTAGCTCATTATTATAAATTTCTTGAGCTGCTATAATGAGATATCGTTTTTTGTCATGTACTGAAACCAATGAGAGCTGGTAAATATGATTTTATTGAAGGCAGAATAGGAGGACATTTTTTTTCGGCAAGTCGAGTTCATGCACAAAATATCCGGAACGACGTCTTCCAGACAAAAGAAGCCTGCAGAACTCATTGGATAGGTGAGTACAAACCAGAAATGTGAACTATCCAAAACCAGTTGAAGAACGACTGGTTCGAAATGAAGAAAATCAATTCGCTGTGCTGTTATATCTGTTACGGAAAATCCTTCCATTATATAGCCAGCAGGCAATCGCAGATGCCCTAGATGTGAGCGAAATAACTATTCAACGAATTTTAAAAGACAACCGTTTCCATGCCTATCATATTCAGATTCATCAAGAACTCTTCGAACAAGATTTTGAAAAACGTGTCGAAGGCTGCAACTGATTATTGGTGGACATGTTATTGGTCCTCAAATGTGCAACAATATATATGACATGCCATTCAAAGAAATTTATAATTATGACGTCACACTTTTTTGGGACATCCTGTATAATCGAAATTACCTAGTATGCGCCCTACGAGACAATTGAAATTATCAAAATCCTGACTCATCTGATAACTGAGCTATAGAAGATGGGAGATGAGATGCATAATCCTGTTTATATGATAGATGTAACAAAAATTGTTCCGGAATCTTTCCACGAATAGAATGATTTGATAAAAAAATGCAACTACCAGTTCTTGCCATGATGTTGCGTATACGCAAACTGTGATAAATATTTCATTTTTGGTAATATAATTTTTTGATGATGACACCGTACCTGGTACATCGGTACACCGTATTCTACTGTAGATATCGTGCCTTATTTCCGCAGATGAAGGTTTATTGAACCTGTCCACAGGTTACTGATCCTTCAAGTTGGAAAAGTAGGATACATGAAAGTTGAGCATGCCAAGGTTGGTTTAGCTCATTGTACCAGTATATCACCTGACGAAGCTACTGTGTTTGCGAAACATGTTGTGTGTTAAAGAATTTTGTGGAAATCTTACCGTTTGTGGAGTATTCATATTTGCCATGAACTTTCATCAAGTAATGGCCGAGTCAATTCAATAAATGATGTGAATAAGTCGATGTCATGAATAACTCCAACTCGGATACACACATTGTATATTTCTCATTTCTTACCAAATTGACCTTGTGAATGAGTATCAAATCCTTATTCCATTCTTTTATTGACTATAGCAAAGTAAACTTGTTGACTATTTCGTGAAAATTTCATTTAAGTTGATGTCTTTATTGTTCCGTAATTTCAGTTTACCGATAAGTTCTACTCTGAAACGGTGCATGTCAGTGTATCTATACTTTGAGCATGTAATTATCTCTAAGTTTCTAGAAACTTCCTTGATTAGTGTCATTGCTATTTCTAGGTCCATTCACAGATTCTGAGTTTCAGTGCTCTTGATGGAAGTCCTGTGAAGTTAAGTTTACGCAAGTTTATCTCTAATAAACCATCTACAACTTAGCAAGAATTATTCCACTCCAGAGCCGAATATAGTCCACATAGTGTTAATTAATGAGTGAAGGATTTAACAGGTTATACTTTATCATGTTTAATGAAGGAAGTGCAGATAAACATTCGTTTTAACTTATTATTAATCACAAAGAGTGAAACTCAAAGTCATTACCACATACGAGTTCATAAATGAACGACAACGGTAGATAACGAGAGAAAAACAACTACTTTCCTGGCTATATGCCACGCAGAACATTGCATCACATCCTCCCGAAATCTATGCGATAGTTCGTATAAACGAATAAAATCGCAAGTGTTTCCTTCCTAAACGCTCAGCTGCGCTTAAATGGTTCAGGAACGCTGACTACCTGCAGACCGGTTTCGAGCTCTTGGCTCCCATCAGTACAGGGCTGTCCCAGATAGCTTCATGACCGCTATCTGGTGCGAATCTGAACCAACGTTAACGCATCTCAGCATTTATACCATATACGAGGCGTTCGACGTCTGCGAAATGAAAACGCGAACGCCGGCAAGGAAAGAAACACTCCAAAACAAAATCCCATTTCAGGTGAAATGGGATTGGCTGATTGCCCGATCGGCGTATTGGCACGTTCTGCGTGGCATATAGCCAGGAAAGTAGTTGTTTTTCTCTCGTTATCTACCGTTGTCGTTCATTTATGAACTAGTATGTGGTAATGACTTTGAGTTTCACTCTTTGTGACCATTGCATTCCACTTTGAGTATTTGGCTTTCTCCCTAGTTGGAAATACGCCAGTCGGGCAACCAGCCATTCCCATTTCACCTGAAATGGGATTTTGTTTTGGAGTGTTTCTTTCCTTGCCAGGTGGCGTTCGACGTTCGCGTTTTCATTTCGCAGACGTCGAACGCCTCGTATGGTATGAATGCTGAGATGCGTTTACGTTGGGTCAGGTTCGCACCAGATAGCAATCAAGAAGCTATCTGGGACAGCCCTGTACTGATGAGAGCCAAGAGCTCGAAACCGGTCTGCAGGTAGTCAGCGTTCCTGAACCACTTAAGCGCAGCTCAGCGATTAGGAAGGAAACACTTGCGATTTTATTCGTTTATACGAACTATCGCATAGATTTCGGGAGGATGTAATGCAATGGTCTGCGTGGCATATAGCCAGGAAAGTAGTTGTTTTTCTCTCGTTATCTACCGTTGTCGTTCATCTATGAACTAGTATGTGGTAATGACTTTGAGTTTCACTGTTTGTGACCATTGCATTCCACTTTGAGTATTTGGCTTTTTCCCTAGTCATTATTAATCAATGTTTTCATAGAAGCAATCGACCTCAAGTATAATACGAAAGTATTTCTTCCAATTCAACAAGATTCGGTGCTTTCGTTAGAAGTACAGTGAATAATGATTTCAGCGACGTCGCGCTAGGTACGCCTTATCGATTTGATGATGAATTTCATTGTACGCCACTGGTTTCATATTCTTATTCAATTGACCAATTGAAAATATTTTTTCGTGTCTCGTATTACCTATCTTAGGTATATATCTGATATTTGAAGAAACACGAAAATTAGATTTTTCTCTAGATTTTAATGTAGGTGCTCTCGGGTGCTCTCAAGACAACTATTGAGAATACTCAATAGCCTCATTGAGTATTATTTTGGGATTTCTAGACTTCGTCAGTCACCAACCACACTGACTTCTGGTATAATGGAAAGTCATACAGGAAGGTCATGGAAAAAACACTTATCACTTCAACTTAAATATCCTCTATATCAGGGACACATCTTCTGAAATGTTACAAGGAATCACTCATTGATTCACACGTTTCCTGATCATCGTGATCTTCTATGAAAATTATCAATTCTTTCAACCTTGGTTGATAGGGCATACAGATCATCTCCCATAATTTAAATATACCTTGTTTGCTCTCCGTCGTTCGCATATGTTTCTTAGTCAAATTGTTCTCTCTTCTGGTTTGGGAGTTCAAGAAAAATCTTCATAGCATAATGACTCATATATCAGGAGATTATCAGTCGAGTTTCTGAGATGACACAGCTTGAAATATGCCATTTTATGGGTAATTTTCCTCCAATAGCAATAGTTATATTTGTGTGAACTATCACATTTCACATATGACTTCCTAAAATGAATATTTCTGCTGAAAAAAAACTACACTAGTTTGTTACAGAAGTTGCTATCCTTTCATACCTTTCATACCTACATCAATAATCAATATCCTCTTGAGAATTATAGAAGACCGATCAGAAATTTGAGGTTATTGCGTTGATATAATTTAACATAAGTCCACAAATTCACACGATATTACCAGCATTTTCATCAGAAATAACATGATGGATGAATACAAACAAAAATTCAACTTCATGGCAGTTGATGACATATAGAAAATATTAAAATGAATAATAGTTTTCAATGAACAGAAAATTGAAATATAACCTACAATATTGCATCAAGCTGACTATGCTTTGACAGTTCTAACACTCAACAGTCGTGATCCTCGTAGGAATCCTCCCGTTCTCTGATGAAATTCGAAGAAGGGGTTCTGATGACATAGGAACCGTCCGTGGAGCCCGGCGTCAGCAGCGGCGTACCCTGCAGACTGATGGCCAGAGGAAGGGCAGAGGGCGTACATAGGCGACTAGCGGCGCCCCTGCCATCGTTCACAGATCGGTAACGAGTCGGTCGGGACAACCTAAAACAATGAAAACAGGTTGTATCAATATGGGGCCCCTCTTCTGTTCCATTAACGATGTCCTAACGGGATATCTCACTTATTTTAAGACCGACGATTCACGACAATCGCTATGCAGACCTATTTTCCAGCCCCATTTTCTGCCAAACGAAAAGTCCAAATGAAAAACGGTTTGGATGATCGTAAGGACGAAAGCTCAAGCTAGGAGTTAAAGTAATTTTCGAAATCAAACTCGTTTGTTGAAGAAAGCAGGCGATGACTGAAAAATGTAAACATTGGGAAATTTTGTGTCACAGATTTTAATGAAAATTGGTTTAACTCCTAGATACACTAAAATGCCATACCCTGCCCAAATTCTGGCTTCCAAAATCACACCGTTCCAAAGAAAACGGGAAAAAATCCAAAATTAACAATATGGCGTCGATAATTGGTGGCGACCTACATAAATCGTGTCTGAATTCAGGCCTATTCAGGGGTACATTAGTTCAGCTTCTGTCTTATAGATGGCGTTGCAAAATTTTGATTTTAATTATCATTATTAGATGGCGCTCAGAATAAAGAAGAATACAATGAAACATGTTGAGAATTTCACATTACGGAAAAATAATCACAGTCTTCTACCTGTTACTGGGTAACTCACTATAATTATGGTAAAAAAGTAATTAGTGCGAATTGCGATCACCTGAGGAATGAGGTGCGAGAGGGTGACGGCGGTAGGCAGAGAATTCAGAACCCCTTCCACGGCGAATCCGCAAGCATGTATACGGGTATTACGGGTGTTGATTTGGGATTTGGCCCACTGGTTATTTTCATTTTACTTATCTCATCTTATCTATTTTTAGAACCACTTGAGCGCGGTGGTCAGGGTCAGTACGGGTGGTACGGTTATAAAATTGAAAGCATAGGGCATTTTAGGGTGAAATGAAACGCTATTTATATTCCAGGCAAACGTTGTTTTGCTATACACTTTTTCCCAGATTGGTGCTGTATGTATTGCTATCTCGGTTATTATAAGAGCTACACAGTCGTTCAAATGAGCAATGTTTCTCAGAATTCTATTACTATTTCAGAATTGCCATCAGATTTTTTCGATCATTTTCTGTTTTTGAAATAATTGCGAAAAACCAAAGTGGTGCGCTTTTGACAATCCCCTGTATCTCTGTTATTTGAAAACTTACGGCATTCTGGCTCAGACATTTCGTGAGCACTTTTTCAAGAACTTTTGAATAAAAAATAGAACAATGAAATATCTTCCTGCGTTTTCGAGATAATGACAGTAGCATTGTTTTTTCTTATGGAAATTTTCAGATTCGTTTATTTCTGATGTATTCGTAGAAGAATATGGTATATGTTATAGTGATACATTTTTGAAAGGAGGATTGAAATTTCTATTTAATGCAATAAAAATACAATATGCTGGTGCCCATATTATGAATGTCGTGAGCTTGGTCGTGAGTTTTCAAATAACGGAGATACAGGGGATGGTCAAAACGCAACATATTGGTTTTTCTCGATTATTTGAAAAACAAAATACTATCGAAAAAATCTGATGGTAGTTCTGAGATGGTTTTCTCAAAAAAATCGTATATCGACTATTATATCTTTATCACACAGCACACCCGCAACGGTAGGTAGTTTTCTATACCTAAATCATCGTCCACCAATATTCTAATATTGTTGGACGATGCCTAAATCATCTTATTATCCACCTTCATGATATAGTGTGAAAAAGCAGATAGAAAAATTTGGTTCAATATCATTTATTTTGAAATATGGAAGTATGGGAGATCGTGACATAAAAGTTCATAGACATATGAAGTATTAAAGAAATTCATAATTTTCAGAGTTTTAGATTCTGGATATTCATCTTTGGAAATGTCGGTAGTAAAAACATTAATTATCGTTATTGAAGCGCTTTTGTCAGATTAAATGAAAAAAAAAATATCATTATGATTTTATTTCCAACAAAATCTGCACGGTGTTACACATAACATTATGACAAAATTCAAGCATACATTTCTCTCAAGCAAATAAAAAGGAGGCATTCAGCTCAGAAAAATAGTGGTGGAACATATTCTTCGATTCTGATACTCATCCGTTGCTTATGACACCTTTTGATAGATAAAACAAATTCTGATCATTTTGTTATTTCAATAGAACTTATCAAATATCAAGACAATCGAAGGAATTTTTTTTCGAGAGGTGAATGATATCGAATTCATATTTTTTCAAGTCTTCCGAGCATATTTCTGCTAAAGAGAACCGTTTAGGCTCAAGAGCTGATTGAATGACAACTTATTCTGTTAAATTCTATAAACTGCCACTAACTATCTCCATATATTCTTGCTATTCAATTTGTTCCTCGTTATATTGGACGATTTTCAGATCAATTATGCGACAAAAATTTTGCATTTGTGAAATTGCATTTATCGACGAATCTGGCGACTTTGCTCCAGAAGTATGTGGGTGCAGGATGGTTATGAGTAAATTTCGTACCTATACGATGTATCCGTAGATATAGGTACCTTCTCGTACTGTAAAACCGCCCATAAATTCATAGAAATTTGAAATTTTGCTTTCTTGTCTTTACCACTCCATCCCAATATGAGTAAATACACAAAATATATATTTCAGATGAGATATTTTTATAAACGGTAAAAACACAAGAACTTTTTCATCAACTAAATTACCTTTCCAAACGAACACAATTTGCCAATCAGTAATTTTACGAGAAAAACGGACATGAAAAAATTGCGAGACCGTAGGTCGATTAATTTTGATGTGCTGAATATATGTACTTATTTAAAAAAAAAACTCATATGAATAGCAAAAAAAAATAGTTTCATTAGACTCCTTGAAAGAATAATAACATCACACAAATTGGGCGATATTTTTTGGGCGGTTCATTTTTCAAATTTGGCGCGCTCGGGTTTCAAAAAGTTGGTAGCTCTGCGGGCGCTGGCTATTTACCTCAGTCATCTGTACAAGGCGCTTCCAAGCAGATCCGTTTCATTATAAAAGATAAGTTTATACGCATATTTGGAGATATTAGGGGCAGTTTATTGAAATTAACCGAATATGATGTCATTCAATCAGCTCTTGGGCCTAAACGGCTCACTTCAGCAAAAATATACTGAGGACATTTCTTGTAGAAAATTTCTTCATCTTAAATTTTTATGTCTTCACATTTTTTTTAAAAACGCACCGTTTTGGAGATATTTTCAAAAAACCGTTTTTTAGCGCCATCTTGGCAAGATGGCGGCGCCGGCGGCATGTCCCGGAATGTGCATTTCGTGAATTTTAGTTCTGGACACCCAAAACTATAATCCTACAAAGTTTCAAAACTTCCGGACTTTTTTCCAGGTAAAAATCCCCAATAACTGGCCTATAACTGTTTAAAGGAACCGACGGTCGTGATGGCGGATCTCTTCTGATCAAGTTGTCTCAAGAGACTTTGCAAAGACTATATTATCATTTCATTTTCGAGAAGAAACTAGAAATATTGCTTGAACTAAAAATGTAACCTGCCTAACCCTTTCTATAGGTAGACAATTTCCTAACGCAAATTTTCTGCGAATCAAAATATTTCCATTGTTCTATACATCTTCAACGACCTAATTTGCGAATTCGAGAAATAATTGATTCCTAGTATAAACAACACACTGTATATGATCAGAAATAGTATAAAATATGTGTTCATTTGGTATTTGAAAAAAATCATGAAATTATTATATTTTTTCTGATCATAGTAGAACATCGAACATTAATTAATAATACATAATGCCCTGTATATGATATCATTGTGAAAATTTGACCACATGTATTTTAGAGAGTTGTAGTCAGATTTCCGCTAAAAAATTTCCTGCTATTACTTACTGATTTTCTGCATTTTTATTTGTTCATAGGTGGCTGTGTTCAAAAGGAATGAGAGAGTTCAATATCCAGGAATGTAGATATCATTGAGTAGTACATGTTGAAAAAAAAAAATTCTTGAAGTCGGTCAGTGTATACGAAAATAAGAAGGTGGTGCTGTTTAAAGTGGGACACACTGTATATCTACCTTGGTCTGAATTGGACAATTGTGTATCACATTTTGAGCTCGATTTTATCTACTTTGCAAAATACGATTATTAGGAGTTCTGAATTCTCCCCAATTATACATTAGCATTCCATATACCGATCTGAAAATAAAATTGCGGACCATAGGTTTTTTCATGCACAGTGGAACAGATCAAATATGAAAGATTTTTCGCGATGAATATAAGCAAGTTTAGCAAGTATCATTGCAAGTATTCAACTAGACGACGCTGAGCCACAGTCCCGTAGAGTGGTCTAGTCTCTAGTTGAATACTTGATTATCCATCGCGTATAATATTTTATATTTGAGCTGTTCCACTGTCGCACGCAAAATCCTATGGTCCGCAATTTTATTTCCAGATATCCACACATTGGGCATCCAAATAATATTCGAAGGATATCCTGGTCGAGGCATGTCCAGTGGAAATATTCAGAGTACCCGCCGTTTCACCCAGATATCTAAAATATGGATATCCAGGAAAATATCAATACCTATTTGGAATATTTTATATTATATATTGATATTGTGATTTCTTCACTCATATCGACATGTGAAATACGGTAAGAAGATATGGTTTATAGGTAGGAGTTCCGATGTCTCTCTCGACCTTGATATCAAGAATAATATTTATTGAATATTAGAATTTCCGAAAGATAAAAAAAATATTTCAAGAAGCTACCATCAGCCACGCCTAGACCAACCCTGTAAAGTATTCTTTACTTGCCGTAATAGTGCCTCAGTGCCTATACAATAGTCATCACACTTACTTCCAGCTTCATAACATAATATATTTATATCTCCTAACTAACCGGTCGCTCGATCGGTGTCTTCCGCGATAAAAAAAAACAAAGCCCATAAAGAAGTAAATACAGGTTCGTGGAAAGAATGCGCTTCGGATTTGAACCCAAAATGGAAGGAGCAT